TGTATTACATAGTGATAATGCTCCATGTTTAAAGATATTAGCTTAATTTATATATATATATATATTAATTAATTAATTTTATAAGCAATGCTGCATTGTATTATATAAATTAAAAATAAAAATAAATTAAATAAAAAAAAAAACAATCAATGCTGCGCTATGTTTAAATATATTAATTACTGCTGAAGAATTTTTTACTGGCTAAATTGCTCATTTTGCTCAGTTCATTGTCAGAGATTAACTAATTATCCAGAGGAGGTCTGTGGTAATTATTAGATAAGCTACTTAATAACATAAAAAAACTGTGGCAACAAAAACTAATTTCTGCTTATGTTTGTGTATATTAGAATAGGATTCTGTGGTTTGCAGCATCTTTTATTAAACCCAGTGCAAGTTAGTCGATGCCATTATTAGATAATTATTAAATAAACACTGCTCTTACTGCTTTTATGAAGAACAGGCTCTTCATGAACTCAGTGAGGTTGGCACTAGTTTCTCCAGGCGGATGGATACCCGTGGATTTCCCTCCGCTTGAGAATTCACGGCGTCGGTTTCGTACGGAGCATCTGATTGGTTGACGCGGACCTGCAATATTATACACAATGTTAAGGGGGGCATTATTGGCCGCCCTGGATCTGCAATGCACCAGGCAACGGTATATAATAAAAATCCCATCAAGGTGGTCATAGTAAAACTTAAAAAAAAAAATTGGAATAAGTTATTGAATTATACTATAATAGTATTTGGCTATATTTACTTGTATTGTACCACACTGCAGTACAATTTCTATAAAGAAAAGAGGAAGTGCATCAGGTTTTACCCACACTGAATGTTCAGCACTTTCTATTGGCTAATGTACAACCCATGAGCAAATCACCTGTAGGTCAACACTCAACATTTACATTATTCTGTTTTTATATGTGTGTGTATATATATATATATATATATATATATATACTCACACACACACACACACACACACACACACACACACACACACACATATATATAACAGAATAATGTCATTATATTGTATTTGTTTTATTTATATAAAATATACATATAAAACTTAATGTTTTAATTTAAGAATTATTTCATGTTAAATTATACACACACACACACATATTATATATATGTATGTATATAATTTAACATGAATAATTTTTATTTTATATAATATACATGATCTCTTATATAGAAAGAAACACTTCTTAAATAAAATGAAATAATTCAATTTTTTTCTCTCTATTCATGCATTTATTGTGTTATTTATATTTTATCTCTTATAACAGTAATTATGTTCTATGTGCTAGACAGTAACTTCATCACCACATCCCACCCATTGTTATTTCATTTATTAAGCAAGTATTAGTTTACAGTAATTAAACTGTATTAGTTAAGATGTTATTTTATCAAAATTCTCCCCAAGACCCAGGACCTGTTTCTAACCTGCCATGGCCTTGTGTTACCTCTTGCCAATGTCCTACAAACATGACACCTAGTGTCCTTAAGTGTGGAAGATCACAGATGAACAGGGTTCACACTGTATAATGTGTCTTCTATGAGGCCTGTCATGAAGAAGCTTAGCATCAGTGACACCGTCAAGGGGTCTGCATCCAGCTTTTGGTCTACGTGAGCTAGTCTCTGACTGCTGAATGTGCATTGATGTGCATGCGCTGACTGATTTAAGGAGAGTGCAGCACGGATCCTGTGAAGGGCCGCAGGCTGACTGCTTTCTGCTGACTGCAGACTTTCATTACATCAAGGAAGCATTTTCATCACCCTCTTCATGCTGCTTTGCAGAGGTCAATGAAGAATGAAGGCTTCAAAATAGGACTTAAAGGAGGAAAACATTCTTCTTGGTGGATTTTAATCATTTTATAAACAGTAGCACCTCTAATAATTACCTACAATAATATTTAATAATAATGTATTCAAACCTGGGCAAACAAGAGCTGCAGCACACCCATTCTGGGAGACAGTATGTGATAAGGGTGTTTTAAATAATTAAAGGGTTAGTTCACCCAAAAATGAAAATTAGCCCATAAATTACTCACCCTCAAGTCATCATCCTAGGTGTATATGACTTTCTTCTTTCAGACAAATCCAGTCGGAGTTATATTAAAAGTTGTCTTTGATCTTTCAAGCTGTTTCATGGCGCTCAGGGGGTGTTGCATGCATCAGTCCAAAAGAAGTTAAATAAAAAGTGCCCGTCCATAAAAAAAAAAGTGTCTCACACGGCTCCGGGGGGTGAACAAATGCCTTCTGTAGCAAATCGATACGTTTTTGTAAGAAAAATATCCATGTTCCAAACGTAATAATCACTTTAATCTAGCTTGCACTCACTGTTGTACACTGGAAGCATGCACATGCGCATGCGCCGGTGAGTCTCGTGAAAACCAATGTTTGTTAACAGGAGCAAAGGAAGCAAAGTTTCCTTACTTTAGCAAAGAAAAACCTAGTCTCCTCTTGGCTTATATCGAAATCCTCCGACATTCTTCTTTACAAATCCTCGTTTTGTACTTATAATTAGTGACCGTTGTTTTGTTTTGATCTCTCCCCTGTGCTTCCGTGTGCATCACTTCTGAGCAGTGCATGCGCAAAGCTGACCTCCATATGTCATCAGCCCGGAGCTGCTTCCGTGTACAACAGTGAGTGCATTTTTGGGTGAACTAACCCTTTAACAGCCCCTTAAAAGCCGCTTAAAAACCCTTTAAAAGCACTGTATGCTTTTATATTATGGAAAAGAGCTGGGTGAGCATTCTTCTAAAGATCAACAAAATGATTCATGAGGGCGAGTAAATGATGACTGAATGTTACTTTTTGCTTGAACTACTCCTTTAATCTCTTGATTATTTCTTAAACTGTTTATTTTCACGAGACTCACCGGCGCATGTGCAACACTAAACTCATACGTCATCCGCCCCAAAAGCTGCTTCCGTGTACAACTGTTGGCGCAAGCTACATTAAAGTGATTATTACGTTTTGAATATGGATATTTTTCTT